CACCATGAACTTGTTGTCGTCTTAGTGGGAATAATTTCTATCCATTTCGAAAATGCATCCACAATGACAAACAACGATTGTCCTTGAATAGGACCCGCGAAGTCAACGTGGAGTCTCTGCCAAGGGGTTATAGGGGTCTCCCAGGGGTGGCGTGGTGCCCGTGCTGGTTGGTTCTGGTTTAGCCTACACTCACGACAACCTTTAACTAGGTCCTCAATGTCTTTATCGATGTTTTTCCAGTAAACAAAGCCTCGTGCTAGGAGTTTCATTTTCACTATTCCTAGGTGACCCGTATGTATGTCTTCCAGTACTGCCTGTCTCATGGCAATTGGGATCATAACTCTAGTGCCTTTTAAAATACACCCATCCTGCAGCGTCAGCTCATTATCATTATAACCGTATCGCGTCACACTCGTTCCTGACTGCAAAGCCTCTACTACAGCCTCGTATTCAGAATCCCTTTGGGTTTCATCCGCAATCGTTTGGCGGTCAATCGAAATGTTGTTAATTTGTTGCAATTGGAAGGCACAATTAACGTCAATAATGTTTGTAGCTATCATGTCAACTGGGAATCGGGATAGGTAGTCTGCATTACTGTTCTCAGCTGATGATCTATACTCTATGCTGTAGTCAAAGCCGGAAAGAAAATGTGCGTAGTGGAAAAGTCTCATAGTGCTCATTGCCGGTAGTGTTTTATACGGATTGAAGATTATCGTTAGTGGTTTGTGATCTGTGACTAGTATAAACTTCCTACCGTAACAGTAGTGAAAGAATTTTTTTAGTCCCCAAAAGATTGATGTCGCTTCTTTGTCAATCTGACTGTATTTCTTTTCGCTGGTAGTGGCGAACGCGACGCAAAGGCAATGGGCCTGTCTGAGCCATCTGGCAGCCTGTGAGAGAGCACAGCTCCGAGCCCGCTGCACGACGCGTCTGTGGCGAGTGCTAGAGGTTTAGTCTGATCGAAATGGACTAAACCTCGTTCACTAAGAATTTCTTTCCTAATTTTGTTGAATGCATCCTCACAATCAAATGACCATGTGAATTCGGTGTCTTTCTTAAGTAAATTATTCAGTGGGCATGAGATAGAAGCTAAATTGGGTATGAACTTATTGTAGTAATTGGCCATGCCCAGAAATGTACGTAATTCACTAATGTTGCTCGGACGGTTCGTATCTAGAATTGCTTTGACCTTGTCTTTGGTTTTATGAAGACCGTCTTTATCGATAATATGCCCGAGGTACTTAATACTTTTTTGCATAAAATGACATTTGTCCTTGTTGAGTTTCAAATTGGTCTCTTTCAATTTTTGTAAAACAATCCGGAGCCTAGCGAGCAATTGTCCTTCCGTTGATCCCTGTATGATAATATCGTCAAAGAAACATTTGACTCCAGTAATATCCTTGAGTAATCTATCCATGAACTTTTGCCATAGGTTAGGTGCCACTTTAACGCCGAACATAAGGCGGTTGACCCTGAACGTTCCCTTGTGCGTGCTCAGCGTCTGCATCATGGCACTCTGTTCATCCATTAGCATATGTAGATAAGCCTGGCTAATATCTAACGTGCAGAATATTTCGCCGCCGTTCATCTCCACCAAGATGTCTTCAATAATAGGAATCGGGTACTGTTCGACTTTAATATATTTGTTCAGCGTAACTTTATAGTCGGCATAGAGCCGGATGCTCCCGTTCGGCTTCACGATCGGCACAACCGGTGTACCCCATTCGGCATTGTCTACTTTCGTAATGACTCCTTGTTGACAGAGCCGTTCTATTTCCTCGTCTACTTTTTCTTTTAATGCGTAGGGAATACGTCTTGGCTTCACAAAAATAGGTGTGGTGTTATCTTCCAAAGCGATGTGCCCTCTATAATTAGGAATGCAGCCTAATGTGCCATCGAATATACAAGCATACTCCTCTAAGAGATCTTCTAAGTGGGAATGCGTGGATTCCTTGATGGCGTTGATGTTAGCTAGGTCCATTTTTACCAAACGTATCCATGCACGACCAAATATAGGATCAACGTCTTGCTTAATTATATAAAGTTTGCCGTTGAATGATTGATTCTTGTATTTACAAGTGACGTACACAACACCTAGAGGTTTAATTATTTCTCCAGTATAAGTTCGCATTGTAACTTCAGTGTTAAATATTTTTCGACCCGTATTTAGTTTTCTAAAATCTTTAGCAGACATGGATGACAGCGTAGCGCCTGTGTCTATTTCCATTTCCGCGCCTTTACCATCTATGTGTATATTTATCATGTACTTATCAGAGTTGTTGGACCGAATGATATTGGTGTTCCAGGGCGTGTCGTCATCGACGGTATCTGATGAGTGCGGTTCTCTGTGTATGGATGTTTGTTCCGATTCAATTTGTTTATTGGTATTCAACGATTGCAAACAAACACGTGCTATGTGTCCTTTGCGCAGGCATTTGTTACAGATATCGTTGATAAATTTACAGACTGATGCGCGGTGATCTGCGCTTCCGCAGCGGAAACATTTGCCTCTTAAGTCGCGTATTGATATAGGCGCTCTATTGTTTGTCGTGGGGTTTTTAAATCGTGTGACGACTTGGAAGTTGTTTTTACATGATTGTGATGGCTGTGCTATGAAGTCGCTGTCTGACTTTGCCATCTCTATCGCGGTTGCAGTACGAACTAGGTCTGCAAAATCAGTTACAGATCTGTTTTCTAAGATTTTTGTCTTAATATCGTTGTCACGAAGTCCTCTAATAAACTGTAATGTTAAAAAGTTGTTACAGATGGATTTCTTACAACCGTCGCATGTAAATTCGCAATCTTGGGCTAAACGTTTCAATTCCGATGTATATGTTATTATTGATTCATCTACTCCTTGTACTCGTGATATGAACTTGTGTTGGCAAGCCCAGATACTTGGTTTAGGGTCTATATACTCTTCTAGGGTTTTAACGAGTACACTGAACTCTAGTTCACGGGGGTCGGAGGGCGAGCAGAGATCATATGCCTTCTGATGTAATTCCGGTGACAGAGAAGATAATAACATTAAAGTTTTGGTGCGCATGTCCTCGTAATTGCACAGTTGTAAATACATTTCCAAACGTTTTACAAAATTTTTAAATGTTTCTTTTTCATGAAAAGGTTGTAAGTTAAGTTTTGGTGGCAATGAGCTTGTTGAACGTGCGACGAGTGCGTCCTCGTAGTTCTGCGATGGCGCGTGAACTACTGTTGGTGTAGGGCGCAGCTTTTGAAGCTTCAATTTAATATTGATTATTTGTTCCTGAGTACTGTACCTCTGTTCGACCTCAGCTTCGAAATCGGCTTCGATTTGAGATTCGATGTCCGTCTGTACCATGTCAAACTTCTTTTCATAAATTTCCAGGTTTGAGAGTCTGACGTTAGCTTCATACTCTGTAATGTTTTCGTGAATTTCTGAGAATTTGTGTTCCAGTTTTGTCAATTGGCCGCGAATCGATGTACGTGTTCTGTATAGTCGCGTGAGTTCGTCCATCGTCGCCAATTTGTAGTATATTCATAAAAATACAGAAATCACTTTAAGACATTTTATTGAATAATAATGGAATAATATGTCAAACGTAACCCAGGTAACAATGTACCAAAGAGATATATAACAGTATCAAAGCTCAGCAGATATTGCACCAACCAAATGGGATCTACGAGTATCGGTACACGGAGGTGTGACGGGGAGTTGCGCCGGCACAGCGTTTGTGGTAAGCAAGAAATGGTCACCGTGAATATGAGCGCGGGCAGCAGGTCGTCGGCGGAGGCCGGCGCCTCGTCGCACAGCGCTAGCACGTGCCGGCAGCAGCGGCGTACACGCGCCAGCTTGCCGCCGGGCGACATCGCGCTGTCCATGCCGAGCAGTTCTGCAATAATAAATTCCATTTTCATCACACTTGCACGTAAATATTATGTGCAATCATAATATTGTATATATCATTAACGACCACGGCTGTAATGAGAAGAAAAAAGGCCCGATGGTTTTATTTGGGGCATTATACTCAAGTTAACCTGCATACGATCATATTATTCTCCTCCCGTGCGTCCGTCCGCGCATCTTTCGTCGCAACTTGACTGGGAGCGAACGATTTGTATATTGCATAATTTTATTTGTTACGTAAACACTATAAACGCGCATACTAGGTATATTTAAATTTTTTGCTACATTTACATTGACTTACAATTATATGGACGTCGGGTCCGCGCTAAAAAGTGTCCGAACTTATAGGGCGTTAAAATCGTATACAGAGCGTCATTCACGCTTTAGTCTTCGTTTGTTCGACTGACAGCGAAGCAAGCAAAATTAGACAGTACTGTGATGACATCAGTCCGTAGCAATGCGCGTTCGGAAACGGACGTGCCACGACGAAGTGAGTTAATTACACCTAACTCGTGTTTCGAGCGGCACAAGCCGCTGCGCGTAATTGACAATGAATTCCCAGCAACTCATTGCCAATGAGCTCCTGGCGTTCATTGTACACGCTATCGACACCATGGATGAAGTCAGCATAGTGCAGATATGCAAATCAAATTTCAGTGAAGATGAGATTTGCAGTGGCAAGATGCTGCTTTTCCAGCGTCTCGGTAAAGCCGAAGAGATGCCATCTCGCCGGAGGGATGGAGGCGTGAAGAGTCTCCAAGACATCATCACGCTGCTGAAGGAGACTGACCCGGACGACGTGCCTACATTCGTGGCGAAGGAGCTGCACAAGCTGCCCCCCGTCACGTTCGACCACGTCGATGTTACTAGGCTGCTGAAGGACATTACGTCCCTGAAGTCTAGCCTAGCCGAAGTACAGTGTAAATTAGAGGCTTCGGATAACATCATAAGTGAGCTGCGTACCCAAGTTGCGTTATTAAGCAATGCTGTTTCGGTATGTAGGTCACCAGGAGCCTCTAATGTAAACACACGACGCGGAGCTGCGCTGAATGCCTCGGTCAGCAGTTTCGAGTCGGCACACAATGCGTCACCATTCGTTGCTGCCACCGCGCATGATGCGCCGCGCCCCGCTGCCCGCCCCTCTGCCTCGGTGGAAATGTCACGCGTGTGCACGTCAACCCCGACACGTGCATACGCCGCTGTAGCCGCTGTAGCCGCTTCAACTAGCCGACCCGCCACTTCGAAATTCGAGCGGCGGCAATCGGCTAAGGATAAAAACAATTTCCGTGTGCCTGTCTCTGAAGTTGCAAAACCACAGAGGCAGACGGTCCAGTGCGACGAGGATGGCTTCACAAAGGTGGTGAAGAGGAAGCCCACCAGCCGTAACCAGTGTGGCACAGCTCCGACAGGACCGAACTTCCTGCTGCGTCCGGCCGTACCGACGACGCTGTTGTACCTGTCGCGGCTGCATTACTCCACGAAGTCTGAGGAAATAGTGGAGTATATCAGCCATAAAACCAAATACACCCTGAGGGTCGAGCGGTTGGAGTCTCGCCGCAACGTGAACTTCAATTCGTTTGTGGTGAGAATACCGACCGAACATCTTTCGACCTTCATGAAAGAGGAATTTTGGCCGAAGGGTGTCATATATCGGCGATTCCGCGGCCGGTTACCTGACACCAGATTGCGCCACACGTCGCCGATAAGGGAAATCGTGTAGATTAGTTTTTATTATTATATTGTATGTATGTTTGTTTTAAGGTATATATAATATACATAGGTGTATTTTGTTTTTATATTGTTATTGTTATATTATATGTATGTTAGTCTGTAAGGTATGTATCTATGGGTCCTAGTTGCCTGAAATAAATAAATAAAAAAAAAAAAAAAAAAAAAAAATTACAATTTAAATTCAACGTTTTAGCTTTTTCATATTCCTTTACATGTCACTACGTTCAAATAGGTTGACTTGGGACATTTTTTTCGTGGTTTTTGTATTAGACCCGTCGTCCATTTGTAAGTCAATGTATATTTATGTATTTTTACTATCTTTAATATAACATACAGCAGTAACACAATGTACAACGAACACATACACAAATATTTAAGCACACACACATCCGTCACTCATCTCGGCTCAGGGCTCATTGAAAACCAGCGCTGCAGTCAATTATGGCTGTGGTTTATGCTGAATGAAGTCCTTTTGCGTACGTCACAACCACACAAATGACAGTACAATATTTGTAGTCATTATTATTTGTTTTTTGTCAGATTTGTCTTATTTAATGTTGTTTTTTATTGTATTTTTTTTTGTTTATTAATTAATTATTATACCTTTAATTTTGTTTTCCTTATTTGTGTTATCATTTTTTTTTGTATCTGTGTTGTGGCGTTGCAATTAATGTCTATTCTATTTACGTGCAAGTGTGAAGCCACACACACCTCAGTACCTCAGTCTTCGACTTCGGACTTCTAATAGAGCCTCGTTTGTAATTTCTTATTTACCGCCTTTAATACACGATGTACTATTATTTACTTTTCTCAAAAATGTTCGGAAATGTTTGCATTACTTTAAAAAAAGAACTCACAAAGATTGTCATTTATGGAGCGTGCAACTCTTAATCAATAACTATGAAAATCCATTACTGTGCGCTGCTCTAAAATTTTAAATATATCTAGTAACAAAGACGTATGTATACACACTATGTAACACTTATGCAGCCAATTGCTCACCAGCATCAGTGTCCGTAATTACGAGAAATAAAAAAAATTATCTATGATACCTGCACCACATACTTAAAAATATGGCGGCAAAATAAACGAAAGACTTTGAACATTGACTTACAATTATATGGACGTCGGGTCCGCGCTAAAAAGTGTCCGAACTTGTAAGGCGTTAAAATCGTATACAGGGCGTCAAACTCCGCTTTAGTCTTCATTTGTTCGACTGACAGCGCGATACTGCGATGACATTACAATTTAAATTCAACGTTTTAGCTTTTTCATATTCCTTTACATGTCACTACGTTTAAATAGGTTGACTTGGGACATTTTTTCGTGGTTTTTGTATTAGACCCGTCGTCCATTTATTTGTAAGTCAATAACGTTGAAGTTCTTTTTTGTTATTTTTATGTTTTTGTATTTTTTTTATTTTCTTCGAGAAAATCGATTCGAGTGAGAAGAACGATAATACAATAGTGAATTGTAGTGGACTCCGCCAACATTGAAAAAGAAGCAAAATTTGTCATAATAAACTAGGTTCATTTATTCTATTATACATTCTCCTTTCTTCTTTAGTCATTTATTACTTCCTCACATTGTTTGAGAAAAGCACTATATACACCTCGGCGGGAACGAGGATTGCCTGACTCGTATAACAACCTTGTAACTCATACTCGCAAACCATCCCTTACTTTCCTGCCTCTGCAATAATGTACTATATTCGTTGGTGAAAAACTGACAGCTTCATAATACCTACTGAGGTAGGCAGAAAACGTGAACCTCCATTGATGTGTCTTTCTGTACTCACCACTTATAGCCTTATACAACAACTGGCGGCACCGAGCGTTGCTCTTATCCAGCTTGCACTCGAGATGCTTCTCCCCAACCCAGCTCAGCTGTTGTATGCGGTCCGACATCGCTCGGTCCAGCCTCTCGTCGTCTGTTCCCAGTGGGGAAAACACAACTGACGGTAATCTGTAACCATTATAAAATGTTTGATATGATGTTAATGACAGAGACTGTAGTGACGTTCCTGGGGACATACAGTCTTAATTCCGTCCAATCATTTTTCCTTTATTTTTCGTTTATACATATACCTCTTAACTAAGTTGGTTCCTGAGGTAGTTGCGCGGTGCGGGCGGAGTGATATCAACACGATTTTTCTGACGATATTCAATAACAAGTTGATTAAAAAAAGCGTCAAATGGCTGTGTGATGCACGTATATAGTAGGTCGCATGCAGGCTAACTTAACTGTAATGCCCCAAATAAAAACCAAGCGCCTTTTTTCTTCTCATTACCGGACCATGCCTATATTGCTTGGCATTACATTCAAGTTAGCCTGCATGCAATCATACGATTTACGTGCAACCAGAGAAGTAAAAAGTAACGAGAATGGACACACCCCGCTCCTCCCTAGCTTTATATACCGTACCAAAGAAAAGAAGAAAAACATTTATTAACACAGTTATTATTTTCTTCATTTATTTAACGCAGAGTAATATATGATACAGATTTATTATATCAATATAATGAGATGTAATATAGCAGACAAGTAGCGATTCAAATTATTAACTAAGTAATGATAAAATTAGACACGCAATTTCAAATACCTTGGTTACCTTATTTAAAAGTACCTGTCCAAAATATAACATTTCAAGTGTTTTCAAATTTTTAAAAAAAATAAACGTTCAGGAATATTCTAGTTAGTGAATTAATGAAAAATATAATATTACCTAACGAATACGTGTAATTATTAGGATCCTATTAAGAGGGAGCATGCCAAAAAAGTTTTGACGTTGGCTCCGCCCAAATTTGTGAAACAAATATATGCCTGAAGGTCGCGTGACATGCGACAGGAGATGTTGAATTTTGCGCATTAAAAGTACCAAATTCGTTTTAGCGGAATAACTCTAAAACTAAAGGGATTTTAAAAAATCCGTAGTGACAGTTCTCGATCATGCATAAATATAATTAATTATCTAATTTTTGTGCTAATAACCTATAACATTTCGAGGATAAATCGAAAAAATGTGAAAATTAGAGGTCATCGTGATTTTTATCTATCGAGGAAACTTTATTGTTTTATGTTTCTGATTAATGTCTATGATTGAATATATCGTGTAGTTACTCATACAATATTTTATTTTTAACTTTAAAGTGGATATACCCCTCTAAAATTAAATCGAAGATTAGGAATTTTTCCTCTGCTCCCTCTTAATAGAATTATGGATAACAGATACGCGTTAGAATTTTCGCTATGTTGCCGCTCTGACCACGTAATAGTACGAGAAAATGACGGGTAAACCTGCCACTTCACGCACACATTTGTGCGTGTGCAAATAGCGCCTTGCTGTATGTAGTAGTAGTAGGTAAATATCTTTAGACCGTTGTTTGGAGTGTCCGGGGTGTGGTGCAAGTGTGATGAAAAAATTATTTAAGCTAAAATAAGCAAACTTACTCATGCAAATAGTTCATGGCGTGTTTCTCAACGAAGTCCATTATCAGCTCCTTCGTATCAGAGTCCACGTCCGCAAAATGGGACGATGTGTCCATGAATTTCATGAAACGCTGCAAAGTACAAACAACCGTCAATTATTCTTTGTTTAATATCATCAGCAACCCATTTATTCGTTAATGTGAGTATTAATACGTTCCGGTTTTTAAGGGTAACGGTGCTGGTGAAATTACAGGCACATGAGACAGTGGTACTGCAACTGTTACAGATAAGCGTGTCGCTTACCATCAGGCGCACGAATTGTTCGTCTCGTCACTTGAAGTTATAAAAAAAATGGCCCAATGCCCAATCCAGATACTACACACGTTTTCCGAAGGTTGTGAACCTTCTGCTACGTGCAGGTTTCACAATATTTTCCTTCACCTTAAATAAATTTCAAATTAACATGTTCATTGGGTGTTTAAAAAATTACATCAAATACTAGACGTGTTCATTGTTGTGTTTATGGTTGTTTGCTTTAAACAATAGTGATGCTGGTACAAAAATGTCAATACTGCATTTAACAGGTTATATCAATAGTGGAAAGTTTGATGAAGACATTGAAAGAAGGGTAAGAAAGGCAGTAAACGGATTCATAAATAGTCTAACAAGTAGCAACATCTTATCCCAAAAAGCAGACATGTTCATACACAATGCTTAGCTGATTCGTACACTGATGTTTGGTAGTGAGAGTTGGGTATGACATAAGAAGCATGAAAGTAGAATTATTGCAGTGAAGATGAGATCTTTGAGGAAAATTTTGAGTGATAGTGAAGAATACAATAATACGTGAAAGATGTGGCTTGAAAGACGATGTGGTGACTAGAATAGAGAAAGAAATGTTGAGGTGATTTGGGCATGTATTATAGAGCAGATGGATGAAAGAAAAATTACAACACATTTATGATGCGAATGTGAATGGAAGGATTTTAAGAGGACGTCTCAGAAGGACTTACGTTGAATAGATCAGTGATGTCCTCTAACGGCTGGGATCCAAAGTGACAAGAATAAAAGAAGTTGTATGAAAAGGGTAGCCGATGTGTGAGTCTCGGGCGAGAGTTGTGTCAGTACAGAGTAAAGTGTCTGCCTACCCCTCCTGTGGAACTTTTTTTTTATAACATCAAGAGACGGGACGAATAAATCGTGCGCCTGACTACACGTCCGTCCATAACAGTTGCAATACCACTCAGAACATTAAATTGCAAAGATATGCGCCCAGAATTTCGCCAGCACCCTTACCTTTCAAAACCGGAACACAGTAATGCTGACATTACTGCTTAGCGGCAGAAATAGGTAAGGTGGCAGTACTACCTTGGACAAACTCTTTCACAAGGACCTCTACTGCTACTAGGGTGTGAGCTTATGTACATATATCAATAGAACATGAGAATACTGCGATGAACACCGTTGTCGCTTTATTCCATTTGTCATCTTTTAACTAAGATTATTACGAACCAGCAAAAACTAACCTGATACTGCCTCTGCACCCTCTCGGATAACTCATCTACTGTCAAGACATTGGAACACTTGATCACATCCATGATGAACGAATGCACGAAGACGCGACAGTCTCTATCCGCCTGCGGCGTCAACGCTGGGAAACGCATACGGAAATCCCGCTTCATGCCTTCATTAACCATTGATGGAATTTTGAACTCGGGGGGCTTCTTTTCTGTTTGATGCTGTTCGTGATCTTCTGTAAGAGAATAGTTTCTTTATACAATGGAATTTTGGCATGCAAACATTAACATGTCTAGATAGGGTTACTCGACAAGCGAATGGCTGCTTCTTTACTGAATTTAGATTTTTTTTTTTATTATTCTACCAAGCGACAGGACCAACAAGTCGTGCGCCTAGTGTAAGTGTCACGCTTATCCATAACATTTGCAGTGCCACTCAGGGTCGTAATTCAGAACTCTACTCAAAGCTCAAGTCAGGACTTGAGTATGATTTAAAGCACTAGAAATTGTACGGGTCGGCCGCTTATAATAAATTAAAATAGATTTAACTACTTATCATTTATAACCTATTGTAACTTACTAGTTTCATAATTAAAAATATTTATGGTTCGGCCTCTTACTTCGCAATAGATAAATTAAGTAAAATATACAAATAGATAGAAAATAGAAAAAAGACCAGCTTATCTTAGAAAAAGATTTCATCAAAAGAATAATAATAGAATAGACGTAAAATGTTAAATAAATGCCGAGGTCTAGCTGAGCGGGCGGCTCTCGTTAACGTATTGCTCGAGCCCGCCTCACAGCTCCGTATTCGGCCGTGTTCCCCCCGCGCCTCCCCGCACTTCGACCCTGCAAACGGCTGCGTAAGAGATAAAAGGTGCGCGCGACACGGCCAACGCTTTCACTCCAGCGCCGAGCCCGCCCGCAACAGCAACCAAAAAAAAAGAGAAGACTCCGGCCCGCATTCAATCCAGCGCCCGCTCGCAACAGCAATTATAGAAAAGAAGACCTCAACAGTACCATACGAAGCTGTAATACGGCTGTAACCAGCATGTTTATTTCGACACTCGCCGTCCCGGAGCGTAAAGAACCACCAGTTCAGTGGCGGTACGACTCCCGTGCCGTACAGAAATTATACTCAAGTCCTTGTCTTGTAGAGGTCTGGAATACGAGCAGAGCTTAGAGCTTACCCTCAGAGCTTTAATTTGAGGGTCGTATTCCAGAACTCTACTCAATGCTCAAGTCAGTCAATCGCCAAGATCGAGGCACCGCCACTATGCCCGTCACCCTGAGACATAAGTTGATAAATCCCATGTGCCTATAATTTCACCACAGCCCTTAACCAAACCGCACGCAGTAATGCTCACATTATTGCTTGGCAGCAGAAGTAAGGTAGCAGTACTTCCCTGGGCGAGCTCTTTCACAAGGCGCCTACTGCTACTAAGAACTCTACTGCTAATCTCTCTCTCTCTCTCTGTGTGTAAATGAGAATTGATAAATATATTCAAGTGTATATTTACAATGAGCAACCCCTAAAGTTTCTTGCTCATTCTTCTCAGGGGAATCTACCTTACGAATGCAATTGTAATTTGCTCACTTATGAAATAAAGATGGTTTGAGTTTAGAGTTCGACGGGTCGGATCCCTGTGGCGGCTTGTACGTTATTACTTTCATTTCCAAGTAATAATAATAATAATAAAGACTTTTATTTCAGAACTTATAAATGTACATTTATAAATGTTTATCATTCTTCCATCGAAAAGAATCATCATGACGAAGTCTAAATACCGAAAAGGGTACACAACCTATGGAAAACCTGTCAAGTTTTCAATATGCATTGGCAGACTGTAAACTATATGATTAGTGATTTTACCTGTGTTGCTCTTCTTGAACATGCTGAACTTCAGCAAATTAGCCTTTTTCAAGGTCTCGCTCTGCCGGAGGCGTTTCTCTTCGAACTTGGAGAAGGACGAGTGAGAGCTCAACTTTGCGCTGCGCTCTGGCTTCTTTTGTTCCGGCTTTGGCAGCGTCGCTGATGATGCTTTTTCTGTTGAAATAATAACGTCAAATTGTACATTTTAATATATTTAAACTATTGAAGTTCCTAGGATTTCACGATTGCTACACATTGAAACTATGAAACATAGATGAAACTATATTTTCAGATTTAAATCAAGTCAAGTTTTTTCAAATAAACCAAAAGGCCACATGGTCACAGCTGATATTGTAACTTTTTATGGGAATATGATTTGGTAAAGCATTCACAATCAAAATATTGGTTAATTTTAATCTTACAAAATAAAGTGAACTTGACTGACAATTTAATAAATTCTTCTAATATCTAATTGAACACTGAACAATGTTTTGAATAATCAGTTAAACTTAATCAATCTGTTGTTTTTAATATGTTTATCAAGTTGTTTTAGAATTGATAACAATAAAGGCGAGAATCAGCATTAAGTTTGATCATTTTATCAAAAAGTGATAAAACATTTATCTGTCATGCAATAATTGTTAGGTAGTTTAATAAGTGGTGAGATTTTCGGTGCAGTACCTGCCTAATCAGGCACCACTATCATACCTTGTAACTATAAAGCACCTAGTCTACAATACGGAACTCATGAATAGCACTGCAGGTAGAACAACCGGCAAAGAATTAGCTATATTAAGGACACTTTTTTAATATCTCAAAGTTCTTTAAACCACATTTCATCTGATTTACCAATAAGAAAAAATTAGGAAAAACAAACTTTTTTTTTATATCAAGTGACGGGATGAACAAGTTGGCGCCACACAGAGCTTTAAATCACAAAGACCTGACGGGGACTGCCACTGTGCCCGTCACCATGAGTGAATTGAGAGAATTTCTACGGCACCCTTACCCTTCAAAGCCTAAACGAAATAATGCCCACTTTACTGCTTAGCGGCACAAATAGGTAAGGCGGCAGTACATTTTTTATTCAATTTGGCTTTTCGCGGTTAGTGTTTCAGGCAAGGTTTTAGTTTTGTCTCGCAAATGGAGAACTTACAAAAAAGAAATTCAGAAATGGGATTAGGAAGAGGGAGGCAGAGAAAAAAGGGGATCAAGTGAGGAAATATGATATTAAGTTCTTTTGCACTTCAGTTTATGCAAAAGAAAAAACATGTCAATATCACAGTGGTGGACTTTTTGAGAGACAAATAATCCTTGACTGCAATCAAATTGTCAGTGTTGATTGTATTGATATTCTCTTTGTTGTTGTTATGACACGTGCCTACATGCGGCTTTGGTATTTTCCTGTATTTGCTTAAATGTATTTTTTCAATCATACCAATTAACATAATTAATAGGCAGATTGGCATTCACATTCATTGCGTAAATGCTCTTAATTAACCTAGTTAGCATATAAGACTAATCGAAACTCATATTAGGGTTTCGGAGTAGGTTCAGCTTTTACTTTTTAAATTGTTGTGCTTTTTACAGCAACTGCAACTGTTGCAAACAACAAAAGATAGCTTGTTCTAGCCCTGAAACTGAGTACTAAGTTCTTGGGAGTTGTATAAAATAGGCAAATTTGATGAAAATTTGTTTATTCGAACTCAAATACAGAAGCCGGTCACCACCAGAACCCATAACTATATTTAATGATAACCGTAACGCACTCAAAATGGTAAAGAATGAATGTTTTAGGAGAACTAAACACATAGACGCTCACCATCATATCATACAAGAATGTGTTGATGATAAAGTGGTCTGTTTAGAGTACAAACATGAACAAGGTTAGAGGCAGACCTGTTTACAAAAGTCTTGCCTAAAGCAAAGCATGGGTTGTTTGTAAAATGTTTAGGTTTAGTTTAGGTTCAATAACCTAAACTAAACCTAAACATTTTACAAACAATAATAGTTCAATAACTATTATTGTATTTTGTACTCTCACACATTTCCATTACTTAATTATGATTGCTTAAGTAAGGGGCAGTGTTAGAAGACCTTTTTGCTAAAATATTTTCTATGTCGGTTGTCTATGGTTGTTTCGAATTTTGATTTAAGTTTTTTGTGTTCCTTGACAGAACAACTTGCAGAAACAATACATTGTTTGTGTCGTAATAACTTCTACTTTTTATTTTGTAGGACAGAAAAGACCTCTGTCTTTACATTAATGAAAAATTATAATTTATTAACAAGCGCTTATCAATATTGTTATGGACACAAGTATGTCACTACTGACATTGTATTGTATTGTATGGGTCCTACGACCCATACAAGGATAACAAAAGTTAAATTAGAAATTGCACATACCAGCTCGACGCTGCCTCTGCATCTGCTCTCTGTGGCACTTAGAGCAATATCCCTGCCACTGTGGGTTTCCATAGTAGTCGCACCCATTCTTACACTTCAAATCGCTCTGGTCGATCCGTAGTGACGGCATCTTCGAAGCAAACATCATATATTTATACGACCGTTGCGGTTTAGACCCGTACCACATTATCACCAACTCGCAAGTACCAAATATTAGACAAATTTTAACACACGGCACTCAAATAGCCTGGCAAATACAGACTCTCTTACTTCAGCCCATCGTCCCTGATTTAGAACTGTTAAACGGTGTTTCACGCGAGAAGTAGCATTCATTTCAATTTACGGCACTATTACGACCAATATCTAACGATTCCCTCGTTATATAGTCTCCCCTTATCATGGAAATGTACTTGAGAATCTGTGATAAAGCAACAAATTATAATACGTAAATCTAAATTACAAACGGGCATTGGACAAGCGTTACAGTTGCAAGTTTTAACCAGAAATACTTACATTTGAAGATGCGGAGTTTGTTTCCACGTTTTATTTAAATGCTGTTACGGAAATTGGAAAAATTTTACATCCACTTACTGACGCGAAATCAAAAAAAAATATTTATTGACGTTGACATATGCTGTTATCTTTTTTAAACTCATTTTTTACGATGAGCAATGACTTTAACACATTCAGTATACTTTTAAACCTGTTATAAAGCTTTATTTAAGATACACGTACACGAGAGTTAAACAATAAACTTAACGTGATTCTAACTGTATGTTAAATTATTTTCACTTCGGTAGCATTTTCCTGAAAGTAAGGTTTATTCGCGCTCCTAGCAACTTTTTCCTTGCAGGCAACGAGTGATACCATAGTTCATTCGTCGGTGGATTCATGAACAGGACGCTGCCGTGCTCCAATTCAATCTTAACTGTAAAAAATGTTTTCTTAAGTAATAATAAATTTTTTAAGTTTTTTCCAGAAATCAACTCCACAACAGCCAACAAAATAATATTAAAATCACCACAAAAGAGCCGCATTCATTACAACCTCTAACCGTATCTACGTATAAATTTGTTTTGTTACCGTTGCTATGGTAACTTGATGCTAAACAAATTAAAATTCTTACTCTTACCAAAGTTCACGAATTCGTTGATATAGAACACTGAAAAGTGGAGAGAAATGGACTACCTACAAATAAAAGACGGCCAGTACACCAAAACTATTTACACAATGGTAAGACTAACAAAAAATACATGAGTATTTATTTACGCCTATTAATAACCTCATAAGGTTAAAAACTATTAAAATGTAAAAAAAATTCGGAAAAAGTGAAAAACAATAAATGAACTATATAGGCAAACACGAAATTAATCACAACGGCGTCGTTAGTTCCGGCACACCCAGAAAGACCTTGATTTCATAATAAGAGATAATTATGTCACGTTATCTAGTCCTACCTAAAAGAAAAATCCCATCAATTACACAGTATAGGTAGTAAGGAAATAAGTGAAAAATCAATTTCGTATGATCGATAAACGAAAATTATCAGGCCATGTCGTTGCTAGAGACTTAAAAAAAGATACAGTCTGAATTGTCGTAAAACGGTGGAATTGATAAGATTAACGACGAAAGATTAATAAAATCCTATAATATCATTAAAAATGATAAGAAATTAATTCTAGACAAGAATATGGATTTAAAATTGACGTCAATACATCTTGGCTTAAATATTTCATGTATTTTGACAATGGGATAGCGACACAACGTGATAATATACAATAATGCAGGTATACCTACAATCCTTGTAAAACGCGTGAGATCATCAAACCACATTGAGCCAGCGAAGTAGACTTTGTGGTGTGTGGAAGCCTCAATACAGACAGGAGGTCTTTTCTATCCCAAACCCTTGGAAAAAAATAAAAACAACACGAGTTATTGGAACGAGGAAAAGTGTTCTGCAATGCCTTTTGACAAAGAACATAAAAAATAAATCAAATTCAAATTACAGTCATAGATAATTTTCATAGAATATGTATTAGCAAAAGAAGGTTTCTTCCAACATTCTCTGCTTAGGGGAGACCCATGTTCTGCAATGTGACAAATAATGGGTTAATAATAAGGACGATAATTATCTATGATGTACACGTTCAGTTAATTAGTTGCATAACAATATCACGTATGTATAGGGCATAAACAAAAGTTTTTTTTAAATTTTAACAGAAAATGTGACATCAGTTATGTGTATTGCAAAACCGTTGTGATTTGATTTCTCGTCAATCTTAGTGTGTCAAATCGTTTCTACACAAGCAAAGAAATGTAAAAGCCTAGTAACAGTTAATCAGAAACGTCTGGATGTTCTATTTTGGGTTGCAACAACTGTGTTATCTAACCAGTCTTATTGAATTGGACATAAATATTTCGATAAGTTTAACTGGCTGGTCGAACCAATACGCTCAGCTCCCCTAAGATCTTAAAGATTTAGGGCTCTGTGTGACATTGCAACTGTTATGAATTGCTTACCACCAGTCACGTCCCGTCACTTGGCATAACAAAAGAAGAAAGTTTTGGACACAAAGGTTTTAGTCTGATAATGGCGCATGAGTATTTCCCTACACATGCACTTGTTATTTTATTATGAAAACTAACGCGGTTATCACATATTATAATATAAAAATAACGGGACTTATTTTAGTCGGAAGCGATCCGACTAGTTTCGACCATAATCGATGTTGTTATTCATTATCACATGTAGGTACCTGTTTGATGTCCTAAAGAAAACATGTCCACTTATTTACTACATGCCTCATGAAGTCTTTTTCATAATTGTTTACAGTGTTCCATAATAGTCAACACGATTTATCAAAATATCAGTTCTATCGGTATAAGTAATCAATATTGTGCAATCCTAATTTATTCATATCTTAAGTGTAGTGAGTATAGACCTTTGAATTTCAATTGTGTAATTTTCAGATAAAGGAAGCAAAGTACGAAGATGCCATTAAGGCACTTAATGACGCTATCAATTTTAATCCAAATAGAGCTGGACTGTCGTTATTGGGATATTGTTACTTCAGAACTCAATCCTTCGTTGAAGCTGCCAACTGCTACGAACAATTAACAGCCATGCACCCTGATATTCCTGAGTACAAAATTTATTTTGCCCAAGCCCTCTACGAAGCTTCAATGTTTGAGGAGTCATACAAAGTTACCATACAAATCAATTCTCCAGAATTGGAAAGGAAAGTAATAAAGTTACAATCAGCCATTAAATACGGTGAAGATGATACATTGACTGCAAAAGGACTTGTTGATGAATATCCTCCAGATGATCTGGACAAAGATATAAACCTTGGTTGTTTGTTATATAAGGACAACCAATACGAAGACGCTTTGCAAAAGTTTTCTAGAAGCTTAAACGTTTTGGGGTTTAATGCTCACCTGCACTATAATATAGCTCTATGCTACTTCAAGCTCAAAGAATACCCACAAGCACTGAAACATATTACACTGGTTATTGAAAGAGGCATACGAGATCATCCAGAGTTGGCAGTGGGTATGCAAGCGGAAACATCTGAAGTAAAATCAGTCGGAAACACTTTAACACTTCATGAAACAGCACTCACTGAAGTTTTCAATCTTAAAGCTGCCATAGAGTATCAACTAAAAAACATTGAAGCTGCAAGAGAAGCTCTAAGTGATATGCCACCAAGACAAGAACACGAGTTAGATGCAATAACCTTACACAACTTGGCTCTTACGTCTATCGATATCAAACCAACAGACGGTTTTGAGAAACTTCATTTTCTACTCCAACAGGACCCATTCCCGCCAGAAACGTTTGCTAACCTTTTGCTGTTATATTGCAAATTTGAGTACTACGATTTAGCAGCCGACGTGTTGGCTGAGAATGCTCAATTCACATACAAATATCTTACTCCATATTTGTACGATTTTCTGGACGCTATAATTACAAGCCAAACATCTCCCGAGGAAGCATTTCAAAAATATGAAGATATTGCATCAAAACATGCTGAACAACTAAGAAAACTTACTAAAGTTGTCCAAGAAAGTCGTTCTCAAGGAGATAATGACCAAGTCAAGAAAGCTGTGGTGGAATACGAAGAGGCTTTAGAAAGATATATCCCAGTGGTTATGGCACAAGCCAAAATTTATTGGGATCAAGAAAACTATGGACAAGTCGAAAAGATATTTCGTAAATCGGTTGAGTTTTGTAACGAATCCGACGTGTGGCGTCTTAATGTAGCTCACGTATTATTCATGCAAGAAAATAAGTATAAGGAAGCTGCTAGCTTCTATGAACCTATTGTTAAGAAACAATACGATAACATTTTAGATGTAAGCGCTGTCGTGCTCGCGAACCTGTGTGTGTCTTACATAATGACGTCTCAAAATGAAGAAGCGGAGGATATTATGAGAAAAATAGAAAAAGAAGAAGAACAGCAAATCTTTGAAGATCCACAAAAGAAGTTTTATCATCTATGTATCGTAAATCTGGTTATCGGCACCCTTTATTGCGCAAAAGGAAACTATGAGTTTGGCATTTCTCGAGTGATTAAGTCACTTGAACCATTTAACAAGCGTCTCGGCACTGACACGTGGTTTTACGCAAAGCGGTGTTTCATATCTTTTCTCGAGCACCTAGCAAAGCACTTAATAGTCGTAAAAGATAATATCATAAAAGATTGCTGGCAGTTCTTGGAAGGATGCGAGACGTACGGCAGACGAGTAAGCACTGTTATCGAGAGTCCTTTTCAAGAAGAAGACGTAAATACAAAAGCTAAACAAACAGTTACATACGAAGCCCGGTTATTGCGTTACATGTTTTATAAGCTTAGAAATATCGATGATTCTGTCACTATTAATAAGTATGAAGATTTGAAATAAAACTTACCTGGTGGAATTGGTTTTTTATCTTTCCCAGGCTTTCTTGCATCTTTGTGTTTAAGAACAAAGGTCCTTTGTTGTCCAAAAGATATTGATGCTATTGGATAATTTGGATCTAACTCCGGTTCGTTATCTCTGTGCTCGCCCATGTGATCGCAGCCATTTCTATATCTGATAAGACATATTGTATTACACTTATAAATTGTACTTGGTACTCAACGTCCTGTATATTCGAATGGGTGTTTCCCGTTCGTCAGTTTGAGGTCAGACTGGTCTGGTAAATTAGATTTTTTTCCCATTGTCTATATCGATTTGATATCTGGCGGTCCGTCAGGATGACAGAAAAATGAATAATCGGGTCAAAACAGTTTTACATTTTATTAGGTAGTTACTCTACTTTGTTATAATACCATATGAACAACCTGTGGCAATAACAGATACCTTATCCAATTAAAGTTCATCTTTTTTGTTATTAAGCTCAAATCGTACGATATTAGAATAAACGTTGGTTTCTATTTGCTATTTAAAGTCAGATTTTCACTATACGAGTACACCCGGACGTAATCCAATCAGATGACTACACGGATGCTACTCGTAACGTTAAAGCACGTAATCCGAGCGCACTCAGACGTTGTCGGCATGCAATAAATACGTTACGAGTGGCGTCCAAGTAGTCATCTGAGATGATCTGAGTACGCTCGTACCGATTGCGCTCGTACGATAACTCGTACGAACGTATAGGAGTCCATTCGCACTTTGGTTTATACCTTACGAGTTCGTTAGCGTCCAAGTAGCATTTAATCTCCTTGCACAATCAGGATGATGACGACTGATCTGCTGCTACGAGGTATACGAGTTCTAGCAGATATGTTAATGCTAACGTAAACAATCTAGGAATGGAAAAACAAAGCAAGAGAAAATTGTAAGACGTGACCAACTGAGTGCTTCAAATAATTTTATTCGAGAAGTGGAAGAGAAAGGTAAAAAGATAAAAACACGTTCAAAACCTCTTTATTAACCTCTTTGAGTCACGTTCATTCCACTTTTTCTTAGGTATTTTCTATTCACAAAATGATCCGAGTATACTTGTAAGAATAGAACCGCGTCAGAGTCCACTCTGATCGAATTCCGACGTCCGAGTGCGCTCTGGTCACGTGTTCACACTCTGTGAGTAGTATCCGAGTAGTCATCAGTGTGTGTGGACTCGATCCGAGCGTACTCATATAGTGAAAACCCGGCTTTAAAGCATTTTTGTTCTATGGTTTGAATTAGGTCTTTTATGAAATTAATAAAAACTTCTTATCTGTCCTGTGGCATTAATACGTGGAAGCAATGATATTATACTTGTAACGTGGAAGTATTATAGACAGTTTTAGGTACTACTGGTAGTAAAGCTGGTAGTAACATAGGTAACTAATCTATCAGATTATCTACCTGTAACCACTGTTACATTATCTAATTAATAAAATATAAAAAGAACAAAAGAACTATTGATAAAACTCACTTGTTGACCAGTACAAAATCGTATTTGATTCCTTTTAGCGACTCTAAAAAATCACGCAACGCTAAAACAGGAGCTGGCCACGGCAAAGCTGGGATAGTTATGCCTGAATAAGTATATGTGATGCCTGGATCGCCGTAAGCCACTTGTTGTCGCGGCAAATCATAAATCTTGCCAAATACCCTACAAATACAATGAACTTAAAAAATGTAATCTTCCAAACGATATCTATGTACTAACGTTCAGATAATCATTGCTTTGTTATAAATACACATTAAATAGCACATTGAACTTTTACAACACAATGAAATCTGTAAGTACCTACCTTTATTAGATTTTGAACTTTAAAATTTAAAGCCCAGCATGCTATTGACTATCTATCTATACATTCAATTCAGTGGCATCATGTCCACATAACCATAGCATAAATAAAGACAACTATTATATAGGTACTATTGAATAACAACTTACTTAATTTTAGCAAGGTGTCCTGTGAAGTACTCCAATGTACTTTCAAGCTCCTGATATAGTGTACTGGCTACTGCCTTTGGTATTGCAACCGTGTAATCTAAATCTAAGCCTTCTTGCTTGATAGATTTCCAAGAAATTGTCTCCAAATCGATCAAATGCAACTTTGTGGCCATTTTTTATTAAATATTTTGCAATGTTTTGGGAAAACTTGACTAATTTGGCAACACTGTAAATGTCATTTTTGCACCGATGACACAAAAGTTTTGTGCATAATAATGTGTAAGGCCACAGTTAAATTTATTTTTAGTTAACCCGATTTACGCCAAAACTGCTCATAAATATATTAATTACTAATGTTCCAAATTTTAATATCGTGCAATATTTTTTACAAATATAAACTTAAGAACCAACACTGTTAGACCCATAGATGGGTACCTATATACTAAATCTATGGTTAGACCCGTCAAACTTGAATATTACAATGTTGCTAGTGCATAATAAATAAATTATTATTACCCTATTTAAAAAAATATAAAATGCATAGTAATTTATAAGATTAAAAAAGTAAATTTATTTTTTAACAAACAAAATAATATTTCAAAATAATACATAAATTCTTGAACGTCAGTGTCGCGGCTGTACACCCGAGAAGAATACATTTCACATACCTATCCTGAAAATTAACACCTTTGCTAAAAAAATAAAAAAAAAATAGTGTTTCTACAATTTTTAAAGCTTTTTCCGAAAAGCTCAGGAAACGGCCACTGAATTTACTTTCTCTAATACATGTTTCTTCAAGTACACAAAAGGTACAAAATATACATAAGTGAACATTGTAAACACATTCTCAGGCTTATTTTTCCAAATATGTATAGGTATATAGATTTTTCTGGATAAGCACGTAAAGGTATACAGCAGGTACCCCGGATGCGTATCTTTTAAAAGATATTATGTATTAGATCTGCCATAAATTGATACCATACTGAAAAATACGCCGCGATACTGGCAAATACAAAATTTCTATAACTTCATGCACATAACATAGGAGGCGCAGGTGCCGGAGAAATGACATCATTTTTATTCGTTTCCAAGAAGCGTTGAAATATTTCGGAGCCAGTTAAAAATTTGCGATTTGCTAAATAGTCCAAAGAGGATTTTTTTTGCAATGTCTCGTTTTCATTGATGTACGTTTCGTGTATTATAGTTGTGGATCTGGAACTAAACACAAAAAAATTAACAAAACGCGTCAAGTATACCCAGTAAATTAATGAATGATGCTCGAGTACTTGAAATCGTCAAGTACCTACATTTTTACAATTCAATATTAACAACACCAATGAATACCGACTTCTGATTTTTTTTATAATATCAAGTGACGGGACAGACAAGTCGTGCGCCTGATGGTAAGCTACATGCCTGTCCATAACAGTTGCAGTACCACTCAGTGCTTTAAATCGCAAAGATGTGACTGCCACTGCGCCCGTCACCTTCAGACATAAGTTGACAAGTCCTATGTGCCAGTAATTTCACTAAAAATGATACTTATATGACTCTAAATATTTTTTATTAACTGTAACAATTTAGCTTTTTCACAGGTCTTTTATATAAATAGAGTTAATTAATTTTAAAACACTAGAATGTTTTCAAAAAGGTCTTAAAATTAAGATAAATTTGTTAGATTTATTCATGACATTTTAGTGCGAGAATATACGTTCTTTTTTTCCATCCGATAGTCTGATCCGACTACTGGAAGGCGCTCGTACCATATAATTGTATGAACACTCAATACACGTCCGATTCGATTATCGGATCGGACGTAACGTGGCGTCCGAGTCAGAAATAGCGTCTGATTTTATTACCGATCGGATTGTGTGAAGGCGCACTCTCTATACTTTTGCGGGGAGACGACATACACGATTCCTTCCGATTTGCAACGTTGCCAATGCAAATTATTCGAAATCCCCAAATGGCGAGAGCAAAGGTCATATTTCCCACATGTTATAATATTTATTCATTCTCAGTGTTTATTACATTACTGTTGTTACGCTTAAAAATATATCAAATAATTAAGAAAGTCAAAATGTGCCCATCTATCACATATACGTTATGCTATAATTCGAAATAAACTCAACAAGTTGAATTAAGCTTAAACCTTAATATTTAAGCTTGACGAGTAGCAGTTGTGGTATTAAGGTCTGTCCATACATATCCGGGCCGTGCCCGGGACGTGGATGGGTCGTGCTCCGTCAGAGGCTCAAAAAAATATCGTTGCGTTTATTTTGTATGAACTCGTTCTCACATATTCCGTGTCCGTGTTTGACCGGCGCCGGGAGGGGCCCGCAGTTCATACAAACTAGCACGCCCCGTCCACGTCCCGGGCACGGCCCTGATGTGTGTGGATAGTCCTTTAAAATACCTACTGCTCGGCTTTGTTCGGCAACAGCTGTATTCTTTTTTCACACCGGGGTCCGGTCAAAACGAGGAATGGTCGCACGCTCAACATGCACCGACTGATCATCATCATCCTATTTAAGAGCCAGGCTCTTGTCGGTGACTGATAATAGTAGTAACTTTACAATTCAAGACAGAGTGATTCTAATCCTACTGGATAATTTTATACATATAAGCTAATGCTAATAATTCTATATAAATGTCACTATATAAGCAGCGCATGTGCGATATCAATATCATTCATAAACAATTAAATAAATAGTGTTTTTATCAGAGATTATCAATGTTCTTACATTATTATTAAATATGATAAAATTCTAGAATGTGAGGGCATTGTCCCCACATAGCGTAATCCAAACAAATCCCCAAAAGAGTTGTTGAGTTGAAATTCCCTGTATTTGGGGAATTCTCCATAAATTGGCCACACTGCAGTTAGTTCCGAAAAAGTCTGACGAAAGAATCGAACGTCTATCGGACGTGTATTGAATGATTCCGATCCGATAGTCGGATCCGACCACCAGACACGAAATCGGACGTGTATTACCGCACTATAATATATAAATAAAATTCTAAGGGTCGTATTCCAGAACTCTACTCAATGCTCAAGTCAGGACTTGAGTATGATTTAAAGCAATGAAAAACATACTCAAGTCCTTGCCATTACGGTCGTATTTCCAGTGCTTGAAATCATAGTCAAGTCCTGACTTGAGCATTGAGTAGAGTTCTGGAATACGACCCTTAATCCACATGTGTATAATTTAGGTAATACGTTTTGTATATTTTATTGTAAAAAGTGTTCTACGATACAATACACCAGTACCGGCTCTACCTAAGGTGAACGGTGCAAATGGGTCGTCGGGACAAGCGTCGATGACGGATGAGGACACTTGGTCTGACGATCTCGGCATGACAGACGAGGAGTTGGATCGAGCCGTGAGGCGTCTCGGTGCTCGGAACACTGCGCCTGGCCCGGATGGTGTCTCGGGCAGGGCGTGGGTGTTGGCTCTCCACGCTGGACTGGGGAACCACATGAGACGGTTGTTCACCAGCTGTCTCCGGAGCGGTGTGTTCCCGTCCGGCTGGAAGTCGGCGAGGATGGTCCTCATGAAGAAAGAAGGTCGACCCGCAGACTCTCCCTCTGCCTCTGACTCTCGACGAGGCCGGCAAGTTGTTTGAAAGAACACTTGCCGAGCGGCTCAGCGGGCATCTTCATCGCGAGTAGGGCCTGACCTGTCGGAAGACCAGTACGGCTTCCGGCAGGCGCGGTCGACGGTGGACGCGATCCTTCGCGTTCGTACACTAACGACATAGGTACTGTCCCGGGGCGGAGTGGCGTTGGCGGTAAGCCTGGATATCGTCAACGCCTTCAACTCCTTGCCCTGGTTGACCGTTAAGGAGGCGCTCGAGTATCATCGAGTGCCTCCGTACCTGAAGCGAGTTTTTAGGTCCTACCTATGCGACAGGTACATTACGTAACCGGGTCGTGTGTGGGGTTCCGCAGGGGTCTGTCCTTGGACCACTCCTTTGGAACCTCGCATACGATGCTGTCTTGAGGGTCGCACTCCCCCCGGGCGTGCATCTGGTGTGTTATACTGATGACACCCTGGTGTTCGCCGGAGGGGAGGACTTCGATAGGACCATCCAGCTCGCTGAGCTCGGGGTCCGCACATTCTGGCGGAGATGGACGCGTGTATTTACGCGCGCCTCCACCAGGCAGAGGAAGCTCCGCAACCGGAAGTGCGGTGGCAGGAGCACCGACGGGCGTTCGAGAAGTGGCGCGAGAGGCTGGAACAGCCGTGGATCCCGCGCCAGCGCACCGTCGGCGCGATCCTGCCCAACCTCGAAGTCTGGTTGAGCCAGCGTAAGTGCGTCACCACGTTCCGAATGACACAGATACTCACCGGGCACGGATGCTTCGGTGAGTATTTAAATCGGATCCGACGCGAGTTGACGACGCAGTGCAACCACTGTGGGAGCGACCAGGATTCCGCCCAGCACACGCTGGAGGAGTGCCCGCATGGGCCTCCGAGCGGAACCTCCTGGTTGCCCGGATCGGGCGAGATCTCTCTGTATCCCATGAGGCAGTGGTCTCCTTCTGTGAAGCGGTGATGCTTCAGGAGGAGGTCGCCGAGCGTGATCGGGAGAGGGCCAATCCCGCTCGGCATCGGCGTACCTTCGCGGCTGCGGACGATCGGAGCGGGGGCTTCGTTCGCCAGTAAGTTAGGCAGCCGCGAGGAGGACGACGGGGCGGTGTGACCCGCTTCGTCGTGAGGAGAGGAGGGGGAGGACGTAGCTCCTCCTATGTGCTGGGGGGGTTCCGGAGCGCAAAGTCGATCCCGGATCCTTCCCACTAGAGCACCCAAGAAGGCCACCGTGGGATTTTAGCCGGTACAAGTATAAAGCATAACCTCCCGCTGCCCCCCACGGCGGAGAGATATCCTATGAAGATTTTCCCACGTAAAAAAAAAGGGTCCAAAGGTGCTCTTCCACAGATGCGAGATGAGCGAGGATTGAAATTTGTATGGTAAAATTTTCGGTGGATATGGTCTGGATTGACGAAGATGTGCGACGCGAGAATTGAAATATTGGTTGATATGATATTGAACCGTACTACACAGAGTATTTTTTAACTTAGCAACGGAAACACGATTCCTCGCGCGAGCTTGCGATGGCTATTAATATTAATCGCGAGATTGTGGGTTATTTACGATTTGAAATTTTTTAAAAGATGACTCCGTCGAATTCTTTTTCCATTAACATTTTTAATAATACTAATTTGCAGGACGGGAACATATTTAATAATATTAATTAATGGCAATTTTTGGTGAAAATTGATCTGACAGATTTCAATTCTCGTCTCGCCTTGCCGAGCGTTGCTCATGACGCCTCCGAAGACCCTGCGTCGCTCGCAGCACAAGCGAAGTAAACGAGATATTGCTTCCTACCATCATGTATAATAGCACCATTTGCATCCGAATTTCCGATAAATGTGGAAAATATAAAAGCAAGTATTTCATTTTGACCGCGTGTCTACTAGAGATTGCACCCGGGCACTACATGGGTTAGCGTAGGCGCTGCAACTCACCACTTTTCAAAGTGAGAAATTGTTAAACCGTGATTTCTAGAACTCGAACATCCTTGGATTATTACCGAAGTATCCCACGACTGTCCCTAACCCTCGTGAATGTTTTTCCAAAACCCCGACAAGGCAAATCAATTGGAGCTATTAAAAATGTTACAAACAAATTGAAATGATATTAACAAAAATTAAAACGTTTTGCAATACATTTTTTCGGTAATAATCCATACTGCAAGCTCTTTAAAGCAATTAATTACTTCTGAAAATCCAAGAGACACTCTTTGTCTTGATACACTGTGTACTCTCTTATCCTTCTGATTGCATCACCATTGTCGAAGTCCCGTTCGTAATCATACTCGTACAATTTCTCTATTATACCATGTTTATCCTTCACAGTCCAAACGTATTCACCAGGTAGACCTCTGAGCTTTGGTTTCGGTCCTTGTTCTATGAGCGAAATATTTTGATCTTTAGCCTCTGCGTGAACTTCCTCAATCACAGGTAGTTTTTTCAAGTCCTCTAGATTAATATTGTGTCTTCTTGTCGCTTGCCAGGTCGAAGGCGAACTCGGAGAATACCGAGATTTCTGTACAAATCTTAATATTTGTTTGCTCAATTCAGAACTCAGGAGGTTATTTTTATTCAGCACGATAAATCGGTTGCAGTAAGATTTCAATGTTCTATCATTTGACTTATATGCCTGAGTAAACAACATCATGAAGTCTCTTTCAGTGTCTTGCTTGTCTTGTATAAGTTTCTGCATTCGAACTTTCAAAAACAAATTTTCTTGATGAGTTACATGATACAGCTGTTGTAAGTGCATGCATCTTGTTCGATATTCTTTAATTTGCTTCTGGGAGACTTCGATTTGACCTGAGAGTCTATTTTTTGCCATCGTCTGTAGTTGATGCTGCAATCTAACATTTTTATTTTCTTGGACTGCAGCACATAGGAGCCTGGCCAAATTATTTCGCTCTTCACCGACTTCGCGAAGTTTTTTGAGCAACAAACCGTTTAAGAGATGGCCGTCCAGTGGAAAATTATTTCCATTGCGGCCCTTCATCAAATATTTCGTGACAAACTGTTTAGACATCTTCCAACATGTAACAATTATTTTAAAAGCGATGTCTCTCACATTATCGGCTATTAATTGCAAATTTCTTTTAAGTTCTTTTGTGTTTATTTTCAGTATTTGATTCCTGGTGTAAATGACGATGTCAGACTTTCGGTTGTAAATGGTGACGGCCAGTGCCCCCGCGATGAATGCAACGTAGTGCACAATTGTCATCCCATTTCGGCTACTTTTGTATGATTGATTGTAAGGTGAACTTTTTGGTGCAACTGTCAAGTTTTTATAGATGAACACTGGGTGTGCATTGGTTACGGTATCTGCAGAAGCAATCCCATAAGTTATTAAAACATAAATCTAAAAGTCAACATTTTCTGACTACCTAGGTACCATGTACAGATTCTATAAACACCTAAAAAAAGGCGGGCTCTTGTTTAGGAAACCTTCCGAAGCTCACACTGAAAGCCCTAAAATAAGCAGGCCAAAATATACAATTTGAAGCGACGGAATAAATGGAAATCCATTTTCGAGATATGATTCCATAAATTCTAAATTCACATTAATCAAGTGCCTTGCATCAATTCTCTCGTAGTGCTCTTTATTTATTATGGATGCTATATCTGCTGCGTTTGCTGACCATGTGGTTCTATCTACTTAAATAATTGTAGGTAAATGACTCGACGACATCGCAACATCAACTGGAATCCTATTCATTTCCAGCCATGGCATTACCAATCCATTGGAGGTACCTACCTCATGCACGGACCATCAGTGAAGGCACTAGTGAAATTGAATATCGAAGTACAAAAACAATCTCAAAGCCATAAAACTTACCGTTACTTTTAATTTGTTTTACATTAAAAACAAACGTATCAATACAACAAAGTATTGCCCACATAACAACCGAAAATATAACAAGCCATCTCAGTGCAATGTACATTCTAACTCAAGAAACGAAAGTTACACTTATTCCCTTTTACGAAGAAATATTATATTTTAGCCTAGAAATGCACTGCTTCTTTACGATAAATTTTATCATACTGTGTGAACAGTGTACATGATTATAATATAAATTATTTTCATTGCAAATCGTTAAATTCGTGACACGATATGACATTTTTTTTGTGTAACGTTTTTTCAAGACATTTTTGCGATTTGTTATATGCCAGTGCCAAAATTCCAATGACCTTTTTTGGCGATAATAATTCGCCAAAAAAGTAACAATTTTAAACCAGTATTATTTTAGTTCGAATCATAGATTTACTATACTAAATCTATGGTTCGAATACAAGCTAGTCCTCTTATGTATATTATTTAACCATAATGTTGTGAATTTATATCTATCTTGTTTGTCTTATGCCAAAAACTTTCCAACTGCGTGATTTTCCAGGTACTACTACTCAATAACGATATCAATGAAAGTCCAATATCCCCTTAAATTAAATCATCCGATAATAACTAAAAAATTTCAAAAATATATATTTAAAGTACCTACTTTAAGCATCATGATATTCATGATTCAAAAAATATAATACAATATATTACATGTTAGTGACGTCTCTGCCTGGAGCTGCCAAACTGTCAGCGACGAATACTATTTATGGCGTGGCAAACCAAGCTAACGGTTTCTTTTTACTTTTTGCTGGTGTGCTCTCGACGCGTATTTACCTATCGTTGATTTATATAACGTCCTGTGCTTTTCAAATATGAACATTAGATTTTGTAACCGATTTTTATTTCATTAAAATTATTCTTAATTTCTAGTCGTTTTTATGATTTCTGGTTTAGATTTCTAACAAACAATTAATACAGTGACATCTCTCGTCAGCGTCAGGCTCAATTTATTTTGCGACGAAACGGAATGGAAACAATTTTTGTAACAATACTGTATGTAGCATAATGAATTTTATAGTCAATTTTGTAAGGTACAAACTAGATACGAGCCAAAATTTTTCGCGGAATGCGCGACCATCCTCGAGCACGCGCGAGAATTCCACTAAAAGGGATGGGAAAAACGAGATTTGAAAAATTTTTTATTGATTTATTAAATTATTAGAAAAAATTATTTCACAACAGTAAAAAACCTCCAACAACCACACCACAACCACTTGTTGTTGGCTCCTTCATTTTCGTTCAGCAACTTCAACTTTTTATTGGAAAAATATTTCTTTTTCTGAAAAATATGATTTGAAAAAATCAGTACAGAGTACTAAAAAAACCGACCTCAAAAGTCTTTCATCCCCTAGTTTGCCACCCTTAGAGGTGGAATGTTTTTTTCAACTTTACATCTGAGGTACCCTCTTTCCAACAAAGAAAAGAGTCATCAAAATCGGTCCACAAATTATCGAGTTATCGCGTAACATACATAAAAAATACATACACAGTCGAATTGAGAACCTCCTCCTTTTTTTAAGTCGGTTAAAAAATGGAAATTTTTCTATGACCCAACACTAGGCATAGGAGCCAAAAAATTAAGAATAAATGATCAAAAGCTATGACAAGAACAAAGTTTTATTTCTCTGTGATAATCACACTGCTTTGCGGGGCAGCGTAATGCCATAAGTCTGAACAAAAATCGCAGGATTTTGTGGTCACAATATTTACACAATTTAATTTTTAATAATAACGTTTTTAACCAACTTCAAAAAGAGGTAGAGGTTCTCAATTCGACTGCATTTTTTTTACTATGTATGTTACGCGATAACTGCGGCCGTTTGTTTTGAACCGATTTTGATGATTCTTTTTGTCGGATAGAGATTACCTTAGTATTTGTCCCATTTAAATTTCAAAGAGATATTCCACCTCTAAGTACCCTTAGAGCTTAGCAAACTAGGGGATTAATCCGACTTATTGGATTTCACCTACTTTCCGTTAACTGATTTCAATAAAGTTTTTAGTAGCAGTAGAGCTCCTTGTGAAAGAGTTCGTCCAGGGCTTAGAATAATAACGCATAGAAACCTAGTCCGCACACGCTAAGTGAGGCAAATTGAAGCGCGCCCAAAGGGCCTACACGAGCGGGCGGGCCTTCAGTGCTCAAGGTCAACATGCACCGCGAACAGATCAAGAATTATACTGACCTTTCTTATCATATGAACAAAAGACGGGCGGAATGTGACTATCGTGCAGGTGGCACATAACGGTCACACGTGGTACTTTAAATGAGGAGCTGGCGAACAAATGCGGACTTGTCCATACAATCAGTATTCTTTTTTATTGTACTTTATACCTTAGTAAGTAAACATCTTTGCATTGCCGAAATATTTTCAATCAATTCCAGCTTTTTCTCTTCGGAAAACAACTTCTAAATTTGCTTTTGTATTCAAAAACGGACTTGTCCTGTTTAAAGTTAGATAAAATTTAGCTTTGTTTCGGTTTTCAATCAAACCCAGACAAAAATAATACAAGTATTTTAATGTTAATGGATTTTTAAACAAACTGTGACTTGTCCATTTAATTTAACCAATATTTTTACATGGGAACATTTATTTAATTATGGCAACTATATTCAATAAAAAAGTTAAATCAGCTGTTACAATTTTGTTGTAAAAAGGTTGTAATTGAAGTTTTGCTTTTGAAAATGGGAGAAAACGAGTCAACTGTAGCTGATATTAATGACGGAACTCGTAAAAGGAAAAAAAAAGAACGGGCTGCTTCAAGGAGTAAGAAAACAAAGTATTTTAAAGGTTACCTACATTACTGTGAAGTTTAGGTTATGTTATCCAATTCAAACCTGATTCATTTTGTTTTAGGTACGTAGATAATGACCCTCTTGCTCTGAACTTTGAATCAGTGTGTGATCATAAAAAGGGGAAATTTAAATGTCAAACTTTAACAATTAACGAAATTGTATATAACCGCAAGTTGTTGTATGAGAAAACTAGCAAAAATGAACAAGATGTATACCTAGTGCGATTTATATCACCATGTCCAATCATGAGGGAACGGTCGAGGGCCACATCTATGAAACCTCAGAGAAATAAATACTTTGTGACTTTCTTTTTTTTAAGAGATTCAAAACGTATTGTTAAAGTGTGCAAGAAGTTTTTCTTAGCTGCCTTAGGTCTTGGTAAGCACAGAGTGAATACCATTGCTAGTAAAATATATGAAGGAAAAACGCCCCATGACAACAGAGGCGGCGATCGCAAAAGCGCTCAAAATTTAGAGAAAAAAGAGAGCGTGAAAAAGTTTCTGGCTGCATTGCCAGCTAAAGAATCACATTATAATAGAAAAAAATCGAGGCGTGCTTATCTTTCTTACGAGTTGAACATAAGAAAACTGTGGGGATTGTACAACACCTCCGTTGATGATGATCTTAAAGTGACCGAAACAATGTTTCGACGAGTTTTTGAAAATGATTTTAATATTGGGTTCTCTTCTCCTTCATGCGATGTCTGCAGCACTTGTGAAGTATTGAAAAATAAACAAAAAATCGAAAAAGATCCCCAAGAACTTCAATCACTAAAAGTACAGCTTCGTGTTCACAAAATAAGAGCTAAAAGATTTTTTGAACTTGTTAAAACAAGCCCAGAAAATTCTTTGACAATCTGCTTCGACCTTCAACAAATACAGTGCCTTCCAAAGACGCCCCATTCAGGAATCTTTTTATTTGAGGCAAATCGGACTGTATGCTTTTTGTGTTACAGACATTCCTACTAAAGAACCACATTTTTTTATTTGGACAGAAAATCAGGCCAAAAAAGGATCTACAGAAATAGCGTCTGCTCTTTTGACGTACCTGAATTCTGCCGATTTATTGGGAGTTGAAGTTTTGCGCCTTTTTGCTGATGGATGCGGAGGGCAAAACAAAAACTCTCACGTAGTGCATATGTTAATGTTTTGGCTAAAAAATTACGCGCGGCAAATGTGGCTAAAATCGTTTTAACATTCCCCGTGCGCGGTCATAGCTTCTTGCCAGCTGATAGGGTGTTTGGCAGAGTTGAAAAAGATCTAAGAAAAAAACCATTCATTTTGAACCCAGAAACTTACCAAGAGATTTATACTAAACACGGCAAAGTACACAAGTTAGCTGAAGACTGGAATCTTTACGATTTTAAACAACTGGAAAGCTATTACAAAAAGGTGGATAACATCAGGGACGCAAAACTAATAATAATAGAAAGAAAAGCAAGTTTAAAAGATTCTCGAAACACACACGATTCATCAAGCGGAAGGCAGGGTTCTATCGCGCCATCCAGGGGGAGAACTCATCAACGGCGTGGCAGAGGTAAAGGACGTGAGAGATCACGTGGTTTTCGAGGAAGAAATGAAAGTCGAGACGAGAACAGTTTCACTCATATACACTGTGGCGTAAAAGTGTCAAATTTTTATAATGTTCCTGAAGATGACCTTAGCGTGGTGTCTTTGCTAAAATCATCACAGAATCATCCAATGGTGAATGAGATTAAGCAGCAGAAAAAGAAAGACGTGGAGCAAATCCTGACCAAACAGTTCGGAGATCAATTTAACTGCCTCTGTGGCCGAACGGTTACCATGCCGGACTGCCAGAGGTCCCAGGTTCGATTCCCGGGCCGGGAGAAATGTTTGTATGGCTTACATTTATTTCTCTCGTGAGTTTGGGTGTAATTTGTGGTTGTCTATGTGTGTGTGTCCATGGCACCCGCGACACAGGGTTTCCCTAGTGCGGGGCTATGTTGAGTGTGTGCGTTATTTATTTATTTATTTATTATTTATTTAATGGTCACAAAATCCTGAACTTGAATGGTTTAAAACCATTATTTCCAATGAAACAGCTACTACATCTCATCAAACATGTGCAGAAAATAACGTCGATGACGATGATGTTGACTCCAATGTCGAGGAATGTGATTGTTGTGAGCCCGATCTGCAAGATTTTGTCTAATTTTGTGATTAAATTTTTAATATGAAAAATTTGAGTTTCATTTCAAATACGGACATGTCCATCAATTTATCAACCAAAACAAGAGTTGTCCAAACTTTTGAACAAAACCAGACTTGTCCAAGACAAAAAAAAATTTAAAAAAAATATCTATTCAGATTTTTGATAAACATGCAACGGATACGTTTTCGTGTTTTAATGACCCTCGCATGCACTAAAAATCAGATATCTGCCAAGTTTTCTTTTGCTTGTTTCAAAACTTTGCCCCTCCTGTAAAAAATCATTAATCGGACAAGTCCGCTTTTGTTCGCCAGCTCCTCAAATGCAACAATTGAAAAATTACTTTGATTGGATTTTTGCATAATTTTGCTGTAAATAAGTTTTAAATAAAGTTTTATTAATGCCTAATATTATTTTTTATCAAAACTCAATAGTCAAGAACCATTCAGGATAAGAAATGTTCCAATTTTGCAAACATAGTTTTTTAGTAAAATTTACTCCGTTTGCACATTAATAGCAATAATTTCATATTTACATTAGATACAATGAGAAATGATATCATTTTGAAATCCTCATTAAACCTACATTATTTTAAAGTACTTGGCCACACAGGTTATCATACTTTTTTTTTATACAGAAGGCGCGTAAACTTCGTAAAAAATTAATTATTTCTCTGAAAAATGAAGTTAAACTTTTTTAAAAAAAATGTACATTACTTAGTCATACCATTTACTGCTTATCTAAGGACACAGTTACCGTAGAATATTATGACACCAAAAAACCAAATAAATTCATTCATTTGTAGTCATAGTGCACAAAAACCTAAAATAAGATAAAAATAATTAACTTTTAAGAAAAAAAACATTCCTTGGGTACTACATGGGATAGATTTTTTTTTTGCATTGTTTTTTGGAACAGTCTTAAGCTGTGCTATAAGCCATTTCAGTATGATACATTCATTACCGGACACCCTGTATATTTTGACATAAGTTTACCAAATAAACCACTTTTCTTTCTTTCATCAATAATAATGAAACGAATATCTCTCATGTCCCCCCACGAATGCCCCAAATCTGCGAATTTTAAATTATCTCGGTTGTCTGTCGATAAAGCGTCAATGGTAGGACTTTGTATGTTTGGTGTTCTGCTAAAAGAGTAATGGTTTGTCAGTGGCTATCAAACGAACTACTATTCAGCTGCCATTACAATTTTTTTCAATGGACGTCTTCCAAATTGGTTCCACTGGGAATCAAACCTGGGAACTCCTCCTCATTATCCACATTAGGCCGCTTGAGTAGTTCATAATTAAAATACACATTTACATCTGTAAATGATGGTAGATCATGATCTGCCACTTAAAGAGAAACAGATAAAGTGTAACACTTTGTCAATGCAGATGTGGCTTTTCTAATTACATTATTGTGAAATTTTTCTACACAGGTGTTCTATAATAAATATACTAATTAACCAAATGTTTTAATCCTTTAATCTAAATAATTTCTTAAGTTTAACTTGAATAGCGAGACCTAACAATATTACATTCTTTCTGTACCATTCTAGATTGTATTGTAAATGTGTTTTCCAATTTTTATCTAGGAAAGCTTTGTAGAAGATACTCATTTCGTCTGCTGTGAGGCTTTGTTTCCCTTCTGGTAGGTTTTTCTTTAAATATTTCTCCCTTTCCTGAAAATCAAAACATTTTATTGACATAAAAAATAATTTTTATCATAACAAAAGTAAATGAAAATTGGAAATGACTGATAACAGGTTAATGAGTCAGCCGTGACCATGGGACCTGCACCCCAAGTCTGCAAATTTTAAATCATCTCAGTCGAGTGTCGATAACTCTATTTTGGCAAGACAGGATTTAATGTGTCTGGTAATCTGCTAAAAGTTAAAAGAAGTGGCTTGTTAATTCATAATCAAAATAATCTTTATTTCATAGGTAAGCATTATTACACTTGAAATCGTCATGTTGGCAAAACTCTACCGCTCATTCATAAGGCAGATTCTCCCGCTTATTCCCAGTTGTCACCACTGGCTTTGTTCCCACTGGCGACAAGTGGAAAAAAAACCATGTTAACTTGGTGGTGACAAACGGGATAAAAAAGTCTCAGTTGTTACTAATGGGATTAATAATGGGATTTTTTTCCCATTTGTCGCCACTAGAAATCACCACTGGTAACAATTGAGACCATTTTTATCCTGTTTGTCATATGGATAACATACGGGATCTTTTTCCCATTTGTCGCTACCGGAAATCACCACTGGAAACAACTGAGACTTTTTTATCCTGTTTGTCACCACCTGGTAACATGGGATTTTTTTTCCCACTTGTTGCCAGTGGGAACAAAGCTAGTGGTGACAACTTGGAATTAGTGGATTCTCCTAAGAAAAATGAGCAAGAAACTCTAAGGGTTGCTATTTGTAAATAACATTTGTACACATTCAACATTTACAACCTTTTTTTTTGTTTTCAAACATCAGAACTACCTCCATGAATGGGTTACTACCACGGATTTTCGTCATCCATGTACTCAGAAGTTGTATAATAACCTTAACTATAAAGTTTTTATTTCACTATAGTTTTAAAGCTCGTGAATGGCAAATTTTGTATATCAACCGGAATCTTGGTATAGAAGCGTATACATTATATTTTTATTCCTCGTGTTAATTTCATGTCTGTCACTATTTTTCATATAGAAATTACTTAATATAAATTACATTTTCATAAATGTACTGTGAATGAGCTATTCAATGGCGAGGCGACGGTACGTCATTGGCGTGGTCTACTAATTATTTGACATAAAGAACATACTTTTAATTCGAAGACTAAATTGCTGTTTAACTGAGATAAAACATTAAGACAAGTGCTTTTCTAGTTTTTGTAAGGCAACATCGACCATTATTAATAGAATGAATAAATTAATGCCATCACTGGTTGCGAATGGCGCAGGATCGAAAATATTGACGCAATAAAGAACAGGCCTATGCCCAGCAGTGGGTTGATGATAATGATGATCACTGCCATTCTACAGAGACTCTGTTGAGACTCAACTAGATTTCCATTGCAACTAGACTTTTGCAAAAATCAAATGTTATGTTTGCAATAAAATCTCAATCATAGATTTAGTATATAGGTACCTATAGATTGGCAATGCAAGTGAAAGAGCGTTAGTATACGCATATGTTAGAGCGAGATGGGTAGACGAGACCATTTCATTACATGCTATGAGCCTGTATGAACTTACTGTCAGTTGAGAACGAAACAAATTTTGTTTATTTTTGAAAAATATTAGGTTTTAAGGTGTGAAATAGTGTTAATTACACATGTATAAGCCATGGTTAGGCGTGCAGTGTCCGTATGTAACACATCTAAAAACGAAAACTCACAGAATGGTATATTTCACATGTGAGTACTATTTGAATTTTTAGCTGTATAATATAGTATTAATATTATAATTATATTAATAATAATATATATCGACCCCTCCTACGTAAAGTATTGTATGTCGAAATTGCCAAGTTTACAGGGGAGCGTTTTAAAGTTCTGAATTCACTGAAAGAGTGATCACCATAGATCATCTAACCGATATCTAGGATTTTATAATACTCTATGTGAGTAATGAGCTTTGCCGAATAAAACTGAGAAATGCTAAAGTCACATGTTATGTTCGTTTCAGTGAATTCAGAACTTTAAAACGCTTCCCTGTAAACTTGGCAATTTCGACATACGATACTTTACGGAAGTAAGTTAAGTTTAGAATATATTTTTCTATTAAGGTCGCATTCAAAAACCTTAATATTTAAGCGTTATTAGTGACGATTTTCTAGGCAAAAGTAATGAGTTTCATCCATTATTTTTTTATTGAATGATTAATCAACTAGATAATTAAAGTCTGTGCATTTTGCGGTAAGACTGTAACACTGGTACTTCACTTCAGTATTCTAACTCGGGTTGCGCTATTGCCATCTCCGTCGCTCACACGAGAATCATAATTATTTTGGTGAAGAGAATCATAATTATTTTGGTGAATGCGACAACAAAGTGAAATATGTTTATCGATATCATTGAGTCAGTGCATGGTACAACACTATTTATCTTGCTCACATGCACATTACACACAGATGTATTTTTGTTTTCATCTCATCTCAAATACTTCAGGGCCGATCTATGGATACCTATACACTAAATCTATGATCTCAATGGAATTACTTTGACCAGTGGTTTTAAAAAAATTTAAGGAATTGGGGACCCGTACAAAGCCCGGAATGTTAATTTGTTTGTTAAAAAAACACAGGATAGATATCTGAGAAAATTGTTTCATCTCCAATGTGTAGGTATTGCTATTTAAGTAACACGCTATATTCAATGAAACAAATTATCATCATCATCTAAAGAACAAAGTGCAATGTGATTATACAGCGGAAAGAGGTTAAAACATAATCTCGTTGTTCAAAAGGCCAGTATAAAGGTGTTGTCAGATTTTTATGTATTTATTAATTAGTTTCAGAAATATAAAATGAACAACAGTTGATCTTGACTATGGATATCCGCGGTCAAGAGCAACGAACGAAATGTACAATGTCCTGAGAATAAGCAGCATCTTGCTCTATCATCTTGGTCTTTGTTCTACGGATGAGTTGAATTATATGACAATCTATTCTATGTATGTATGTCTAATCTAATTATACCTTCACTATGTAGCTAAAAAGTCTCTACAAATTATATTTTAAACTTTGATACGCCGAAAAACTTACGCGGTTTTCAAATGTAGCCAACAGCGACGATGAGTTACATACCTGATAAAATCGGGAATTGTGTTGCGTCCAAAAATTCTGATTCCAATCTTGCACCTCCGCCCTCATTTCTCTGTATTTCTTTTCCAATTCTGTCTCATTCACTGATTGTTTAAATATTATTCTTCGCAGATTAGACGCAGGGTCTGGTGGACCGATCATGTCGGTGCTTATTTTCTTCGGGTTAGGCGGCTGAATTGACTTACTTTCTGATGTAGTACTCGTGTATCGTGTTAACAACATACATGATGTATGCCTAGATATTCGATAACTCAACATTATTATTACGATTTACGAGATTTATAATACAGTTAAAACATCTCTTGTAATCAATTTACGTCAAACAAACAAAATCAGCTGAGCTCAGCAGGGGAACTCTGATTATTATAAAAAGCAATTTGACAGGTGTCAAAACATAGCCAAGTAAAAAAGACTAGGCTAACGCTATGAACTCTCGGAGCGATTTTCACTAGGTAAAAATCGCTCCCTACTGTTGCATAATTTTCCGAAAAATTTCAAATAGTAGAAATTTTTCCGGAAAGAATCTCGAAAAATTGTGAAATTTTAAAAATTGGAAAATTATTTCGTGGGCTCGTATTATGTTCTGTGTTTAGAAATATGTTTCTATGTTTTATTTAACGTGAATTATAAAATAAACTTGTATATTTAAAAGCCACCTAGAAAAACGAGATTTATATTTATTTCACAACAGCGAAAAACCTCCAAGAACCACACCACCAGCACTTGTTGACTCCATCGTTTTCAATTCAATTCAATTCTTTATTGCATTTACTATAATATTAGTAATGTTACAAGGATGACAATGGCCTATAGCTAAGGTAACAGCGCATAAAGCTTAGATAAAGTAACTTTGAGTTTTGACAGGATGTCAACGTCAAATGTGGAAAAATATCTGGAAAAATAAATCTTTTTCTGAAAAATATGATTTTTTTCAAAATGGATATTTTTCCATGACCAACACTACCCAGGAGGTTGATATTTTATTGGATGTGAGTGAGGAAAATGGCTGGCTTTTGAAGTTACAAGTAGTTTTACAAAGATTAATTTTATTTTAAGTATATTATGAAGAAAATACGAAGACAGAAATAGTGATGAAGAAAGTTAGAATTACTTGGTACTTACTGCAACGGGCTGGTATCCGCAACTCGACGACAAAGCGCCTATTTTGCGTGTGAATTATAGAATAGTTAGAATTATATTCCTTATTTTACACCAAATTACAAAAGACAACGTTTTTGTTTTATTAATGTCATATAAATATAAGTGAAAGTGAAAACATAAATATTGGCTCTCGCCGTTTAAAAGACTATTTACAAGGACTATTTGTAAGATAGCTCAAACAGGAGCACTAATGAGGATCCCGAAGTCATGAAAGAAAACTCTTAATAGCAAAATTTAAAAAAATATTCCATAACGCGCTTTTTTAACAACGCATATGACTTATAGAAAAGGAAAGAGCTAAATTGCTTTGTCTTACTACGTTTCGTTTTTATTATTGTATTTGGCTTTATTTTTCCAGGTAAGAGCATTTCCCCGCTGTCAATGTCACTTGGTCTTCTACAGATCTGTCAAATCGATGAAAATTTCCTCGATTTTTGTCCTTCAATGCCGAATTATGTAAAAGCGCGTGTGAATATTACAAAATTTTATAGCCGGTCATCAAGCTTTTAAATTATTTAAAGACCGTAGAGGTCCAGAAAATCTGATTTCTAACTGAATAATACAAGTTACACGATGTCAAAAAATATTGAAGAAATTGATGATGCATTCTCGGTGAAATTGGACATGTGTATCACCGATGGAATAATTAAATCCAGTAATTCTATATGCCAGTTTTTATCTAATCAGTCAGTCGAGTCTTTATATAACTTATTTCAGATCCTGTAGCATAATAATACGTTCCAGGTTCAGGATTACTTCTAGGAGCTCTGACGTCTGTGTTGTTCTTCAGGAAGCGACGGTGGCCTATGATAGCCGGTATGGGCATGGGCATTGGATTAGCATGGGCAAATTGCGAGTTTGAACTCAACAACACAAAGAAAGTTTGTGCCCCGGCATCGACTGCTAAACTTTAAGGCTACGGTTATATATGTAGCTTAATTGTGACTGTATGAGTGCATATTTGGCACCTAAGGTTGGTTTTAGCGACAAATTTTAATAATAAAAATTGCTATGAAAATTACACAGAGATTCATGCTTTAAATAACTGATTTTGAAATTAATACATTTACATAATTATGAAATATTTACATACTTATCAATTGCACTTCACTGCTTAATGATGTAGTCATTACGTATTTATGAAGTGCACTTCACTACATAATAGGTTAGTGTGTTAATTTAATATGCCTTTTAAAACAAATATTGTACCTATGTGGCATATACTAATTCATATCATCGTCTTTCTTTCAGATAAAACAGTTGAGTAAAATCAGTGTCAGCAGTCCTGTTCAAACTTAATATGGAAGAGTTCAGTAGATACCATTTAGAAAATATTGTGTTGTATAAATAATTATTTATCTAATTATTATGAGTCTTTTATTATTGTTTACCTATTTTTCATCACACTTGCTTGTAAACGGAGTCAGATAAAGTCGACCATAATGTCCTATATTATACCCATGGGCTTTTTTCATTACATTATCGCCCTATGGATTTTTTACATCAAGATTACGCAAAATGTTTTTATAAACTTGAAGTATGTACATACATACAAAAAAAACGAATTATTTGCAATTTACTATATTTTAATAAATTTATTTTGTGTATATGAAATGTTGTTATGTATATAGAAATTCTGCAGTATTTTTAAAAATTGGAAATTATTTATTTTATGTCTAATACATTGTGGCAGCACATGTCTGTAAATTTTATAACATTTTAGTTTTTTAGTAACACAGACATGGAAGAATAGAATCTGATTTAAAAAAAAAGCAATGTAAACCCGCCATTTGCAAAATCCGTAAAATGGACTGTTGTGGTCATTGACTTACAAATAAATGGACGACGGGTCTAATGCAAAAACCACGAAAAAAATGTCCCAAGTCAACCTATTCGAAATTTAAATTGTAATGTCATCGCAGTATCGCGCTGTCAGTAGAACAAAATGAAGACTAAAGCGGAGTGTCGCGCTCTGTATACGATTTTAGCGCCTTACAAGTGCGGACACTTTTTAGCGCGGACCCGACGTCCATATAATTGTAAGTCAATGGTTGTGGTGCGATATTTATTCATACAAGCATTGACTTACAATGAAATAAATTATCGTTGTATCTATTTCCGCACGGGCGCTAAAAATTACAAACCTCGAGTCATTAAAGCCCTCAGCTTTCGGCTTGGGGCTACTAAAAAACTCTCGTTAGTAATTTCTTATTTACCGCCTCTAATAGACAATGTACTATTAAATAGCTTAAATAAATGAACACGGTAAAGAAGACAATCAAAAGTACCTTTAGATATTGTAATAGCATTAGGAACCATCCTAAGGGCGCTTTCAAATTATACGCTTGTAGAAGTGCTACAGTGGTTCGGCTGCAGCGCCACTGCATCGCTTCTCTATGCGTCTAATTTAAATTGGCAAAACAGTTGACAAACTGCAGTTACGACAAAAGGCTCAAACGAAAAGATATACTTCCGTTCCGTTGGAGTGATATAAATAAAGATCCGCTCTGGAACTTTTGGAGGGAAAAGTGTCGTTTTTATTTTGACTTTCAATTATTTTGTGAAATCTAGTTTAAAGTGGAATAGGATAGTGCTATTGTGCCTTAATCGAAGATTAAAACGCGAAATTATACGAATCTCGAACTAAAATACCCGTATCGGCCCTTTTTAAGGAATCCTGAGTCAATCCAAGCACGCCGCCTCAAATTGCCTATCCTCTTTGTGGCGGCCATATTTACAGAAACATAATTAAACTTCATGTTTAGGCTGATGGGTTTGCGAAAGCCTTAATAAATAAAAAAATATATATAAATAAAGGGGAAGAAACTCAAAAGTGGAGATGTTACATTTCGTCGCCTTACTTTCTCAAACTCGTATCTTAAGCACAAAGTTACCGAAATGCACAAAATGGATTGTATATACAATTTTGCAGACTGATTTCATATCACATTTCCTTCATATTTACGCACTGGCCTTTACTTATTCTTAAAGTAATGCGTCCAAATCAACACCCTTGATAAGATACGAGTTTGAGACAGTAGTAAAGCATCAACTTGATAGTAGTGGCACTAGTGATGAAAGAGACTATATAACTGCCTCCATGGCCGAACGGTTACCATGCCGGACTGCTACGCGGAGGTCCCAGGTTCGATTATAAATATTTGTATGGCCTACATTTATTTCTCTCGTGAGTTTGGGTGTAATTTGTGATTGTCTATGTGTGTATCCATGGCACCCGCGACACAGGGTTTCCCTAGTGCGGGGCTATGTTGAGTGTGTGCGTTAAAACTAAAATAAAATAAAAATAGACCCAGGGTCGTATTCTAGAACTCTATTCAATGCTCAAGTCAGGATTGCACTGGCAACACAAGCACTGGAAATACGACCCGAATGGCAGGGATTTGAGTATGATTTCGAGTGCTTTAAGCCATACTCAAATCCTGACTTGAGCATCGAGTAGAGTTCTAGAATACGACTCTGAGGATCTAGTGTAGAGTTTTGGAATACGGCCATCAGTCTTTTAAGGCCTTTTAAAAATCCTCGACAAATTTTTAAAAAATTCGAAAATAAAAAACTGGAGACTAATTCGAGTCGAAGTCTTTTAACCCTAGGAAGCTTAAAAGACTTGTGGGACTAAAGCGACTAAAATGACTGGCGCCTTATAGCCTCGGGAGTCGCGAGTCCTGAGCCGTATGTGATTTTTTTTCTACCCACAAGATATTTATTTTACGATTGATGCATAACGTTAACGTAGCTTTGTTCACAGAAGTCAGTTAATTGTAACCATTTCAAGAATTTGTTTTTTAGGAATTATTTGTTTCTTTAATATAAACATGAATGGATACAGAACCTAACAGTCCAAGTATTTTATCAAATTTTAGGGTCGTATTCTAGAACTCTACTCAATGCTCAAGTCAGGATCTGAGTATGATTTCAAGCACTGGAAATACGACCCTAATGGCAGGGACTTGAGTATGATTTCGAGCGCTTTAAACCATACTCAAATCCTGACTTGAACATTGAGTAGAGTTCTAGAATACGACCCTTACTATCTGATACCGTCGTTTGACCATAATGATGAATGAAACATACTATTTATGAACGTATTAAGTGGAGGTCCACACTCTCTGCCTACACCTGAATGGGTGACAGGCGAGATTTTTATGTATATATTTGTTATTTGTCTAAGTATTACAGATAAATTGTATCTCACTACTGTGCACGGGTTTCTAAAGAAGTTTAAACAAAAATACCAGGACTTCATAATAAGAAAAGTGGTTACAGACCCATATTACACAAAATAAAAAAGGGCACGTTAGAACTGGATTTCCATAGACTTTTAAATATTGGTTGTATTTCATTATTTTAATTTACCTGCAGAAAAAGTATTGTATATAATAATTAGGTAATTATATAATTAGGTCTTAAAATCTCGTACCTATTGCTTAAATCACTCTAATTTTTATTATAAATAAATAAACGTGATTATTTACTACATACTACGTCATTTTTATTTATAAACTGCGGGTTTAATAAGACTAAAATAGGTAAAGGCCATTGCAAACAACTCGAGTCGTCCAAGTTGTTTAAATGTTTTAGTATAACGACTGAGTCTTATTAATAAAAACTCGA